CCCCGCGCGTGCGCGGCGGCGTCGGGGGCGCGCCCGGCTCTGGGCGCACGTGACTTCCTCCTGGCGGGGCGTCGCGGCGGCGTGACGTCACGCGAGGCGCTGCGGCGGGAAGTTCAGAAAGGCGGCGGCGGCTGCTGCTGCTCCTCCTCCTCCTCCCGTGATTCTGATCCCGGTCTCGTTCCCATTCTCGTTCCTCATCCCGGAGCCGCTGGGAAGGATCGCGGTGTCAGTCCGGCTCCACGGCTCGGGGCATCCCCCTGGGAGGCGGATAAAGGGAGTGCGGGTGGGTGGAGGGCTGGAGAAGGGCTGTGTGGGGACAGCGGGTTTGACAGCGGCGGGGCTGTGAGTTCGAGTCCCGCTGCCCGCGACATTCATTCCCCCGGGAGTCATCCCTAAGGGTTCCCATTCATCCAGCTGCTCTACTAACTTAAGGAATAACTTTGTCCTAAAAGGTGTGTCCAAGATTTTCACCTCAAGAAGCACCCAGGGAGGTGACAACCATAACAAACTGCGCGAATCTTTCCCCTTTTTTTCCCTTCTCACCAATCCAAGGAGGATATAAAAATTTATTTTAAAATATTTGGCGGTCTAACTTCAGATATGCAAAGAGGTTTGGCTTCACGGGGAGCTTGTTTGGAGAGCCAGTTATTTTTTTGCATGGGCAAAACATGCATGACCAATTCCACACCTGTGACAAAACCATTCTGGTAACGGCTTCCCTGAGGTTTTTGTTTTCTTTTTGTTGAATTTTTTGGATGTTGGGGTTTTTTTCTGTGTTTTTTTTTAATTTTTTTTTTCTGCAGGTAAACTTTTAGATTTTTATTTCAAGTAATTCTGAAGAAGGGTATTCCCAGTTGTCAGCCATTCATTTAAATGAATGAATTCATCTAAAAGCTGGAAAATATCTTGACATCTATTAAAAGAGAGGGGTTTTTTATTTTTTTTTTTTTTTTTAAAACCAACAGTCTGTTAGATAGTTTTTGAGGTTTCTCTTTAAAATAGCCACAGCAGCTCTACCCCACAGGTTTTGTACTTTCTTGCATCTAATTATTTTCTTTTGAGGGGGAAAAAAAAAATTAATTTTTATTCACGCTTTTCCTTCACAGCTCTGGTTCATCCTGAACATTTTCCTGTCTCTCAGGCTGTAGGAAGATGTGGATATTTGTGAAATAAGCTGTTTGATAACCGTGTTGCCAAAGCAATGGCTTCTCAAGAATTTACTGTGAGTGATTTTTAACACTGTGCAATTAAATAGGAATAAGTTTAAAGACTATAGCTGCTGAAATATTTGAATGTTTTCTTACTTCTCGTTTTTTCCGTATTTTAAACAGGTGTTATACACTCACCAAAAGATGAAAAAATCAAAGACATGGCAAGATGGAATTCTGAGGGTTAGAACTGGCAGAAACCAGGTGAAAATTCAGATTTAACACTGTTTGGTTTAATATCATCTGCTACTGCCAGTGGCAGTCTAGCTGATTTGTGAAATCACTGGTTATTGAAAATCCTGTTTTTATATTGCAGGCTACTTTGTTTGATGATAAAGGACAATGTCTGGAGAGTATTTTTCTAAAATCTCAGGTATGTTTTGTTCAGAGTTGTTATTTTTATATCTGATTGTAGTTTGTCTTTCCAGCAGCATTTCAAACACTTGTTTTGTAGCCAAAACAGTAATTTTTCTTGTTGTTGATGTAAAACTCTGCTACAGTGCAAATAATGGAAAGGAAAAAACAGAATAAATAGAATAAATGTAAAGCTTCTGTTTTTCAGTAGATCTTAGTGTTTGTCCAGAAGGTTTCATGGATTTTTTTCTTCCTTTGTGGCAAAACCAGTGTATTACAGTGATATATGAGATTATCCTTGAAGCTAAGTGCTAGAGTTTTTTAGAATATATGTATAAACAAAAGTTTTATATAGCATCTGTGATATAGTAGGTGTAAGTACCTGATTTTTTTACATGAAAGTACTTAAAGGACTATATGTATTTAAAATAAAACTATGTTATATTGTTTCTTGTATCATACTATTATGTACACACTACTGCTCTCTCTTTTCCAGGTGACTCCTGGAGATGATTTGGAAAGCGAGCGATATTTAATCACAGTTGAAGCAGTCAAAGTGAGTGAGCAGCCCTCCAAAGACCAGCCAAAGAAAGCAGAAACTCCAGCAGTGGATAGAAATGGTGTAAAACCTGCTCTTCTATCCCCAAGACATCTCCCTGTCGGCTTGAAAAGGAAGTTTACGGTGTGTTTTTGTTCCAGATTTTTATATCTCATGTTTACATGCGTTATAAAACACAAGGGACACATATTTTCATGGGTGGGAGATACAGAGGCATAATTTCTCCCTGCTCTTTTTTTTTTAGCTGTAATCCAGAATGTGTTTTTTCCACATTTAGGAAATTTGGTTTAGCAGGATTGCTATTGCTGAGCCTGCAGTAAAAATCACGAGGGCTCGAGGTTGTTTCACACCTGTGGAACCCTGGTGTGGACTGGATCAGAATATGTTTTCAGGCCCTTTGATCAGAATCCAGTTCATGGGAGCGTGCCCCATTTTCAACACTTGATTACAAAACATGGTTTAATTGGAAATTTCTCTCCTAGGGGTTCCAAGGGCCACGCCAAGTTGAGAAGAAAATCCCAGTCGTGGAAGATGAAGGCAAACCAACAGTGGTGCCTTTATCGAAGGAGTGCCAAGGGAGTTTTCCATCCAAGTTTTATATCAGCTCTCCCTTATTTTCTACCATTGGCAAGAAGGATGCAGAAACAAATCCCTCTGCAGGTTGTCAGGAAGAGGGATGTAGGGACAGCAACAGAGAACAAATGTCTGTGTCCTCACTGCTTTCAGCTCCCTGTAGTGACAGCTGTGAGGAGACAGAGAAGCAAAACTCCAGTCAGTTTGTTGTGAGGCCAGAATCTCCTCTCCTTGCTGGGCACCCTGGTCCCAGGGCAGTGTCCCATCACATCAGGAGCACAGCACAGATAATTGCTCTTCTGAAGTCTAAACCAGCACAAGGACACAGGGAGCAAACATCTGGAGTCACAGATTGTCTTTCCAGGTTTCAGGCAGCAGAAAATGCGGAATTATGTGACAAAAAAAGCCCCGTCCTACCTGCTTTTTCAGGTGACCCTAACAAAGGACTCATTCCAGATACTCAGCACCTGCCTTTTATGCAGGGAACTGTAAATGATGAAAAGCTCTGGAATGCTCAAACACTTCCCAATTCAGCTGGACAACCTTGTGGTGAAGAAGTCACGGGACAGAGACAAGACAAAAAGGTAAATAATTTAAGTCAGGAGTTACAAGATCACTGCAACACCGATAGTTACTTCCTACCCGAGTCCACTGTAAGTAGAATGAGGGACAGTCAGTTTGTCCCATCCTCAGGTGACATTTCATATTCAGCAAGTCCAACTACCTTTGAAAACAATCCCTTTGGATACGGGGAGCATTCAGGGACTGACAGTCCTAGGGAGAATTTCTCTGTCAAGATGCAGAGTGAGCTTCACCCAAGACAAAATTCAGAGGGAGTGTCCAGTGACCCAGGGCTCTCTGGGGATGTGATACTGACTGAAGATGGAATTGTGAAGGAGGAGTTCAGTTTGCAGGGCACAAACACCAGTCCTGATGGGGAACTGATGGAGGTTAACTTTAACCTAATGGAGACTTTTGATTTTAATGACATAGACCATGAAGATGTGTGTGAAAGAGAAGGGAAGGAATTCTCTGAGGGAGACTCCTCATGGAGCCCAGGTTGCTTACAGGGAGAAGATGTAGCACAAGATGCTGCCTTGAGGCCTCATTTGAAGCCTCATTCTTGCTGTGAAATAGAGACACACAGCAAAAATGAAATGAAATGTTCAATTTTTGATGGAGATGGGGGTCCACCATCCCAGCTTTGTGACAGTGATGCCAGGAGAACTGCTGCAGACGATGCTGCAAACCAGACCAAAACCAAAGCAGAACTTTTAGGTGATGGATGCAACATAAAAGAGATCAATGAGAGTCAATCAAGTTTTGGAGCCACAAACAAAGGGGAGGATCTGGATGGCTGTGCAGCACTCAGCATTGATGGCACATCTTGGATAAAAAACCAGCAGTCTGATCTCTTGCCTGATGACACCAAAGTTATTGAATGTCACCCTAAAACCAGGGTGTCTGTGGCAACTGGAAGTCTTCCAGGTATTTCTCCCAGCAGAATCATTTCTGCCATGGACAAAAAGACCGAGGAAGCAGTTGCACATCTTGGATGCATGGAATCCCCAGATGTTGGCTCAGAGCACTTCTGGGGTACTGAGAGTGATGACATTAAACCAGGCAGCCCTCTGCTGGCTTTGTCACAGAAGTCAGATCCTTTGGGAGCAGGTTATTTGTCTCCAGAGGAAACAGCAGTAGGAGAAATTGCGTTGGAAAGTGCAGAGAGCATAACTGCTTCTCCTGAAGCCTGCAAAGGAGAAACAATAGGGGTGAATAGCCTGAAATGCACAGCAGTGGCTGAGAATTCCTCAGGACTCCCTGATTTGGTGAATGATATTGCTCTTCTGGGAGCTTTGGCTCAGCACAGCACAGCATTAGAGAGTTTGCAAAAGCTGGAGGAAAATGCCAGCGTGTTCTGTGAAAGAGACACTTCTAAAGAGACACTTGAACCCCTTGAGAAGGATGAAGGTTAGGTCAGCTTGTGTTTTAAACTGGATGCTCTATGTCTGTACCTGTTTGATTTCTCTCACTTCAGCTCATATTCAGAAATACTTTTAGAGTGATGTGTTATGTAGGTTCCCTTGTGCAATTTTTACTGTTTAAAGCAACATTGTGTCTCTGTTCGCTCTCATTGAGTTAAATCCTAACCGTGCAATTTGTTGCCTGGGTAAGGTTTGCAAGACCTGTAAATATTCAAATGTTTTCATGTAAAAAAAAACCCAGACTGTTGACTCTAACTTATTGTGCTTTTCCATCTCTTGTAGCTAGAAAAGAGTTTACAGAAATGCCTTACTCAGAAAGTTTACAGGCATCTTCCTGTTCATACTTTGATTCTCCTGGCCTTATGGTAACCAATTTTTGACTGCATATATTTATCTGTACAAGATAAATTTATTTTCCACCTGGCTCCTGGAATAAAATCCTTGAACCATAGAGGTTGAGCTACAAATTGCTTAGAGGCATTGTTTACGAAGCTGATAATAAATAGAGGATGTCACCTTGGCAATATCTGGGAGGCCTCATGTATTAAAGACAAGAAATTTTATGAAACTTTATGAAACTTTATGAAAATTGTAGCATTTAGTCATGTTTAATATCCCATTAATATGTCTGGTATTTCTCCTTCCATACCCCATCTTTTACCACCTTCTTTTTGTTTTTTCACTATATTTTTAAATAAATGTCTGTCCTTGGAGTTTTAACATTTGGGTTGAAATACACTGGAAAAACTGTTTGTGTTTGATAATTCACTGTGATTTTTATCCAGTGGTATTAACAGCCTTTTTTCTTGTTCAATCTATCTAAAGCTTAAAGAAAGATTTTAGCAATCCTTCCCTTTTTCATGTTCTGTTTTGAAAAGCAAACATAATTTCATTTCCTGTCATGGATAGTTCTGGTTTCCAAACTAAAAAAGCCTGTAACTGAAAAGGCTTCTTTTGTATCAATATGAGACATTTCTTAGCCTAAATTTTCACTTTAAATGGTTATTAAATTGTTAGACTAATTAGGTTTTGTTACTTTCCTATGCAGCCCAGCTGTGTGGACAATTTATTCCAGAAGACAGAGGCATATATTGTACCCATAGCAGCAGCTCAGAGAGACCCTGGGACATCTGACTGCCAACCAAAGGTACCTTTTCTGTGGAACTGAAGTATAATTAACAGTGTTTGCTGAATTTCACTTAAATGGTCTGCAGATTGTGATACATTACACTAAGTCCTAATAAAGTTCTAACCAGTTCTCATAATTTTTAGTACAGTTAACTGCAGGAAGTTTTCCAGGAGAGTTTTAAACTCAAATTAAAAGGAAAAAACGCCAGATTTTTTTTGTTTCTCTACTGCAGTGTTAACAGATTATTTTTCTTGCATGTATAAAAACTATCTGTGTTGACTGTAGGTAGTTGCAGAGCAGTTTTTACTTCCTGTTAGTGATAATTCCAACGCTTTCTGTAGCGTGTTGCCTTCCGAGGGTACCAAGTGAAAGGATCAGCAGCTAGTGAGGTCATGTTGAGAGCTCCATGCTCTCAGCTAGGATGGCAGCAGCCCCCAGAGAACATGGATTTGGCAGCTGAGACATTTTTCTCACCCCTCTTTTCAAGGAGTAATGACCTTTATGACTTCAGACAGGTAAAGCGTTTTTTTGTTCAGTTATCCTTAGCAAGTACCCTGCCCATTTAGGATAGAAAATAGTTCATTTTTTAAACTGCTACCATCATATAGAAATCAATTATTTTTACTTACCTTTGTCATGGAACTTTGTCATGTGTGACTTGGTTTTTTCTGCTCCTTTGATCAGCTGCACTTTGGAAAAAAAAAAAAAAAGATAAACAGTTTAATTTCTAAAAAGTTTTTGCTTACACTTGTTTTTTTTTTAAATAAAGTCTCCAGGTTCCAGTAGCCTTCATAAGGACGATGTTGACATGATCAGAGAAGGGAATTTTCAAGTGATGCCTGATGTTATTGAAGAGCCAGGAATAAATCAGTCCTGTAAGCGAAAGTAAAAGGAGAAGGGCAATGATTTGCCTCAAAATTTCTGCATGACTTGAGTGCTTCATGTGTTTTTCCCAGCACTGGCATTGGATGTGTATCCTGAACGTGTGGCACCATGGACAATGCCACGCTCACCCTGTGACCTGAGACAAGCACGGTGGGCTGCCTGGGAACCTGGCAAGGTGGGCATTGACTGACTCTTGCAGATATTTTTGGCTTTATTTCCTCTGTGTTCATGGCAATTTCTTAGTTTTGAAGCTGTTTTATCTCAACTCTGAAAGACATTTCCATTGTTTAGAATGATGAGAGAATACTGATAAAAGAGCTGTAATCAGGGTTTTTTCCAGTCATTCACCTGCCATATTAATTCTTCACCTGTAGACTTCCCCACTTGATCCGGACTCTACAATTTCTCCACCTTGGGAAAACGAGGACACTGTTGGAGACATCTGTGAGCCCCTGACACGTGGGATCTTACCAAGTGAAGCAGAACTCCCAGATTTTTTTTTCAGTAAGAATTTACAGTTTTATATTGGCACCTCACAGTGTTTTAGCTGAAAACTAAAATCTCTGAGGATTCTTGAAGCACAAAGAATTGGGCTATCATAGACAGTTACTCTCCCAATTATATTCTCTTGAAAGAGACTTTACTAGAGGGGATTTAGTTTTATAAAGACAAATCAGCTTCTAGTTTGGGGGCAAAAAGGCTGTAAGCTAAGCTTCTGAATGACACCTCTGTTTTTATTTACCTGCTTTTAGTTTTCTTCCATATTCAGCTGTTCTTTGATGCCCTCCCATCTGACATCTATCTGTAACTCTCACTATTCATAATTAATTTAGTGAAAAATGGTGCTTTTTGGTACTAAGAGCTTATTTATCTGCACTGTTTAATATTAATTCATAAGTTTGTGAGTTATCTTTTGGAAAAAGCAGGAAATGTGAAGCTGGGTGTTTTCTACCAGCTGTCAGTGACATCAGACTAATGATCTCCAAAACACACCCATATTTAAAAAATGGTCTTCTCTACAAGCAGAGTGGCTGCATAATGTGTTCTGAATATGGAGATTTCAGAGAATTATAACTCATTAAAAGAATCACACAGAACCCATCATTTAGTGTAACACGGCACAGGAACAATCCAGAGAGGTGTGTAAAAGGAAGAACTTAGAATTCCTTTCTTTTTGTACATCTAAAATGCCATCCCTAGGTGCTACAAGTTGCTTGTAAGCTGTATTTGCCCCACAGCCCGGGAGAAATCCAGCTATCCAGAGGAATGCAGCCTCCCAGGATCCCAGCCCCTGATGAAAGCACGAATTCCATTTGTCGCTCTTCCTGCCACCAACGAGATTGCTGGTGTGTTTCACCCCACTGAGAAGAAGAAGCTCCAGCAATCTCTGGGCTCTTCAGGAGGCAATTTGAGCAGCGAGCCAGTGGCATTTCCTAGGAGCACTCCTGGCCCCGAGGACAGGAATTATGAGACCTCCGTGTTTGGGGAGTACGCGGAAGATGGACAAAGGGGATCTGTGCCACAAGTGCTCCCTAATGTGACTGCCCAACACAGACAAAGCAAGTGGCTGAAGTATCAAAGCAGTGCTCAGTGGGATTTGATCCCTGAGAATAGCGCTGACAGGGAAGAGAATGATGATATCTGTGCCCAGAGCATCCTCGGAATGCTGCCGGGCGACACAGGAGAGGGCACAGCCATGAATCCAAGTGCTCCCAGCTCTGCACCGCTGCTGCCAGCCAGGAGCTCTCCCGGGGAATGCTCCAGGGCTGCAAACACCAGCCACCCAGATCTGGTTTCAGAGGGGAAGGTACTTTCCCTGCACTTAAGGCAGACACCTTTGGCTGAGGCCACACAAAAGGTGTTGAGTCACCTGAGCTGCCACGCCGGAACAGGAGAGGGCCAGGTGTGTAAGTGTTGAAGCAAACACAGCTATCACTGACACAAACACATTTCTCTGGCCAGAGGGACTGCAATTTAACTCATTTCCTGCAAGATATTATCACTATGATTGGATGAAATGTTTCTACCGACGTAGTGACACCAAATATATATATATTTTTTTTTAGTGCTGTGACTTATCCTTTGTAAAGGTAATTCCCTGTCACACACAGTGCCAGATTTAGATTTTTAATCTGAATCTTGGTGGCAGGAAGATGAAAGAAAAGCTGCTGGGCTGTTTTGACACCTGTTATTGGTAAGAAATTGTGTGCACAAGGGGTTTTTCTTAATTGTGGTATCAGCATCATCTTAATGAAGACCTATTTTTGCTTCAAGGTATAGTCTCTGACTTCAAAATATTCTAAATTCCTTCAGCTTTAGTTGTGTAAAAGTCAAGTTATAGCACTGAATAAGCGCCTAAAAATTTAGCACAGCTGTTTCTGACCAGTAGACAAATGGAGTAAACTGGGGGAAAACATTTAAAATGATTTTGAAGCTGTCAGATGGTTTTGAGAGTTAAAGAAAATGTTAACTCTAAGTTTTTTGGTTCTTTAAAACTGTCCACTACAGTATTTGTGTGAAGTAGAGGTGAGGAAATAACTAATATATTTCATATGTATATATATGAAATCCATGTATACTACACTTAAAAAAGCTTATGAAGATAGTTATAATGAATTTATTTCTATGCAAAAATGGTGAAAAAAATGAAGTTTGTGTGCCCTTTCCCCATGCCTAGTGCTGAAAAACATGATTTTGAATGACATAATTTACTCTAAAGCCTTTGGAAATATTATCTGGGTTATTATAGATGCAGGCTGTTTGGCATGGGGCAAATTTATATGTATTTCTGAGTTGTCTTTTCCTGCTGTGGATAAAGTGAAACATGCCAGTCTTCCTAAAAGAAAGATTTCTATCCCAGCTGTGTTTCAGTCTCACACTCACTACAAACAGGTTTTTAAAGCTGCTCTGACAGGTAAGTCTCTGCTCTGTGAAATGCTGTCCTTTTAAATGCTGCCTATTAAAGCAACAGGGTCCATTTCATTTTTTATACATATATACTGAAATACATTCAGTCTATAGCCAAAATTGCAAAGACAAACCAAAAAGACAGTACACTTCTGTTCAACTGTGTAGCCTCAGGGCTATTTTCCAGCCTTAAGATTCCTTTTTTTTCCCCACTGGAATAAGTGGATTTTGCAGGTCACATGGTTTCTTTTAGGACTCATATTAAATATCTTGATTTGGGATGGTAATCTTGCAGTGAAAATACATTTCTTTGAATGTTGTGTACCTGTGTAAGCATTTTAAGGCTGTGCTAATGATTCTGTTGTTCTCCCCTACCAAGAGCAATTGAACATAATGCTGTTTGAGTTGGCACAGAGACTGCACAACGCCCTCTCCAAAGTGGATATATCATTTTACACTGCACTGAAAGATGGGCAAAGCCAGAGCCAAGGAAGCTGTGCTCCACTCTGCAACCACAGGCACCCTGCTAAGCTGGTGATGGTTAAAAAAGAAGGTCAAAACAAGGTGCTGTTTATTCCTTGTGTTTTTACACTTTTGAGGTGAAATTATCAGCTGCTTTCTCTTCTTTCCTTGCTTGTTTTAGTGCTCATGGACTTCTTTTTTTTCCCCCCTCCCTTCCCTTGCAGGGTCGTTTGTTCTATGCCTGTGATGCCCCAAAAGCTGAGCAGTGTTCTTTTTTCAAGTGGGTTGAAGATGTGAACCCCACACAGACAAAATCCAGACCGAGTGCAGTGCTCCATGATACAAAAAGTATTGGGACATACCTCAGGAGCCAAAAGATTGCTGTCTATGAGGAATGCCAGCTTTTGGTGAGGTATCCTGAAATGCTGTGCACTTCTCTCAAGTGCTGTGTGAATTCAAGGTTGATAAATATTCCAGTAGTTCAGGATTTAAGGCGTTTTCTGCATATTTTAAAGAGTAAAGATTTCTTTCTGTGAAGAAATGCAAGAGTTAAATCGGTGAAGGAAAAATATTTATAGCAATGATATTTCTTTTTAGCAAGAATCAAAACTGCTGACCAGCCACTTGATCATTTGCTTAATGTTACAACGGTTGCATTTGAATTATTGTTCATTTAATCTTCAGTAGGAGAATGTGATTTATTCTCTTGGAGATTCTAATTTTAATGCCAGAAGTCATCTCAAAGGCTATTCTGAGCTGTTTAACTGTAGAGGAAACAATTTGATTGTGGCTGAATATGAGGGAATTTTGCAGTCAAGATAAATGTATTTAAAACTTGTTAATGTAAGATGATTTACACCCACTTGGTCCAGTCTGTGGAGGTTTCTTATTTTTGGTGCTGAATCCGAAACATGCCTATGGTTTACCTTTTTTTTTTTTTTTTTAATTGCAATTTCCCAGGAAAGCCTTTGAAATTCCATCACAGAAGTACAGTAAGTTGAAGAAATTTATGAATACACCTACCAGCTTTGATGGTGACTCCAAATCCAAATTATACCTGAAACTAAGCAGGAAGGAGCATTCTTCTCTCTACAGCAAAGGTAAGCACATCTTAAATAGCAGATTTAAAAGCTGGCAGTAGGAGAAGCTGATGAGGACTCTGATGTTTTTTTGGCAGATGACATCTGGGTTGTTTCAAAGACTCTGAACTTTGATCCCATTGATACTTTCATTGCAAGCAGTGCTTTCTTTGGACCATCCTCCAATAATGAAATAGAATTGCTGCCACTGAAAGGCTACAGTCCCTCCAACTGGAGATCAAACAGTGAGTTCCATGGCAAATCATTCAGAACTGTGGGACACAGCTAAGGAAAAATCCAGCCAGCAATGAAGGATGATTGTAGAATTTCTCACATCTTGTACATTATTTAATTCACAGTATCTTTTTTTTCCTTGTATGTTTGAAGATATTATTTGAATACTGTTGTAATTAACGCAATTAAATCTGCAAAGTAGCTGGCAAATTCCAAATGGATGGAGGAGAAATGAGAATAATATGAAGTAGTAAATTATACAATATGAGATATAATGCAAATTGACTGTCAGAGTGCAAGTTAAACTAATATGTTTTTACTGTCCTTGAAAAACAAAATACAGAAACCTCAAACAACTCACTGGAAAATTCATACTTATATTTATACTTATCGGCATTTTATAATAAATCTCTTTAGCTAGTTTGAAATTTCTGCTCATCTAATTTCTTTCTCATTTTGTTTTTCTGTGGCCTTTTCCCAGTGTGTGTTCACGCCTTGCTGGTTTGCAATGCCAGTGGGGAGTTGGCATCCTTAAGGAACTTGGAGGAGCACTTCAATCCATCCACGTTACCACTGATCCCCTATCTCCTCAAAATGTGAGTTACTGTTGTGTGATACTGTGAGCAGGTCACCAAACACCAGCAGTCCAGTGGAGGAATAGCAGAACCAGGAGATGCAAATGATATCCTATCATGACTTCTGGCTATTTTTTGTTCTCTTAGGGATTTTAATTCTGAAAATGCTACGAAAAGAGTCGACAGAAGGAAATTCACTCCTCCTGCCATGAGCCTTAAGTGCTCGATGATGTCTGGCCCTGTGAGCTCTGAAGTGGCACTGGGAGTGGCTGAAGAGATGATCCAAAGGTTCTCCCTGAACCCAGACCAAGCAGCATCACTGATTCACATAGCTCAGATGATGACATCCTGTGGAAGCCCCAAACCTGGGCAAGGACATCAGAGCTTCCCCATCACAATCATACATGGTACACAGCCAAGAATTGTGACATTTGCTGCTATTGTATCTTCTCAAAAATGATGATTGATGTGAAATGGCATTAATGTGAAATGCCAGAACCAGCCCTTATGATAATGACCATGACATTAATACATCCATTCTGTCAGCACAGAGCTTTTACCCCTTAAATTTTCATTCTGCCTTTTGCAGGATTTCACTGAAGCATATAGGAGCTTTTGCCTAAGAATATCTGCACATAAAATCAGAGTTTTTAGTGTCTTCTGCTTCTTTCTTTTCATATTAAAACCACTTTTTGTCATGTATTAGCTTTGTTTTTCTAAGTGCAAGGTTGCCCCTGGACGCTGGTAGCTGCTGAAGCAAGCCCATGCAATGTTTTTAGAGAAATCACATCATAACTGAAATGAAAGCAATTGATTCAAACTTTCTAGGAAATTCTCACTTGTAACTTGGGCTTTTTCTTCCAAAATACCAGGTGTTTTTGGAGCTGGCAAGAGCTACTTGCTGTCTGTGGTGATCTTGTTCCTCGTGCAGCTCTTTGAAAGCAGCGAAGCTACGGAGGGTCCAAGGGCAACTCCATGGAAACTTCTCATCGCTTCTTCCACCAACGTTGCTGTGGACAGGATACTGCTGGGGTGGGTTGTTGAGGCTTTCACTGACTCTTCTTCCAAAACCAGTAATGTACTTAACATTGTAGTGATAATTGTGCTGGTATTTCCTGTAAAACAGGTCAAAAGGGTTGATTTCTTTCCCTATAAGGTGCTGTGGACAGGCTTTGATTTTATCTCAGCTCTTTCACGCGGTTAAAAGAGTGAAAGCTACAGAAAACATTTACAGAAGATGACTTTAGGCTCTACTCTCTCATCAAATTTGGTATTCAAATCCATCATGACCAGGTAGTAGTGCTCAGGAATCTTTGGGATGTAGTGATAGGGGAAGGAGGAGCAGAGAGAATCACATCTGTGAAAATTCAGCATAAAATAAATCCATGGTTTGGAAGGAAAAAGGAAGGGAAGATAGACATTAGAGCAGGATCATCAAGGCATTAAGCATTTTTGAGGCAAATCATGATGAGGTAATTTATTTTAATTTTCTTCAATTACTGAGGTACTTCATCTCATTAATCACTGAACTTTGTGCTCCTTGGTGTTGTGATGTGTCTTTTGAAACCACTTTTCAAGTTTTCAATGTTTCTTTTTTCCATTTCTGTAATGATTATCATCTCTTTTTCTTTCAAGTCTGCTCGATCTTGGATTTGAGGATTTTATAAGAGTGGGAAGCATAAGAAAAATCACAAAAGCAATCCTTCCCCATAGGTAAGAAAGCTCTTTGAGGGATCTGATGCAATTTCCGGTAGGTTAATACATTGTTGCAAATTGCTGTTATGTATAAAGTATGTTTATTTTCCCAAGCACTGCTATTTTCATTAATGTATGTTACAAAATCTTCTTTGAAGTTTACATGCAGGCTCAGGAAATGAAAACGAGCAGCTGAAAGAGCTGCTTGCTCTCATGAAAGAAGATTTAACTCCAGCTGAAAAAATATATGTCAGGAAGAGCATTGAGCAGCATAAACTGGGGACCAATAAAACCATTCTGCAACAGGTACAGTCAAAGAGATGGAATGGGAAAGCAGGGATTTGCTGTGTCTTATCCACAGGGCCCAGCAAATGGGAACTGGGAATCCCCTCTCACACCTGCCAAGCTCCTGCTTTTGAAATGTAAAGTGCATATTAGGTTTGATTCCACAGTGTGTGTGTTAGTGTCCTGTTTGTAAAAACAAATTTAGGTGTATTCTGCTGTACTTAGGTGCTGCACAGAGATGAACTGTCAAATGATCTCAGCTTTTTGCCTGCCCATTTTCTCCTGGCTCCTGACAGGTGAAGGTGGTTGGAGTGACGTGTGCTGCCTGCCCTTTCCCATGCCTGAACTCACTCAGGTTTCCTGTGGTGATGCTGGATGAGTGCAGCCAGATGACTGAACCTGCTTCTCTCCTTCCCATCGCCAGGTACGGCCTTCCTGTGGGGCTTCAGCAGGGACACAAGTCCAAGTAGTGCCAAACTCCACACTTTTCTGAGCATGTGAACCCCAAGGTCTCACCTGAGAGAGCAAGAGGAGTCATTTTAAACTGAGGCCTCTCCTTGGGTGTCAATTAAACTGGGGTGGAGAAGGGAGGCTGGTGGAAGCAACGTGATACAGAAACAGTGCACGCTTGGCTTGAACATTCTTTTTAGAACACTGTTTTCCTTGTTTTCTCACATTCTTATTTAGGTTCCAGTGTGAAAAGCTTGTCCTCGTTGGAGACCCCAAGCAGCTGCCACCAACTATTCAAGGGTCTGAGAGTGTTCATGAGCAGGGATTGGAGCAGACTCTCTTTGACCGGCTCTGCTTAATGGTAGGTGCTGCTAAACACACCTTGGAGAAAGGTGGAGAGTGGAATTGTAGGTCTCCTGAACTCACATGGGGAAATCTGGTTCAGGTGTCAGAGGATCAGGGTTTTCAGCATTGCCAAATAACCTAAAGTCACAGAACGGTTTGGGTTGGAAGACGACTCAAAGGTCACCTAATCCAACCTCCCCACCATAGACAGGGACACCTTCCTCTAGACCAGATTGCTCTGAGCTCCATCCACGTGAACTCTTCCCAGTCCTAATTTCTCTCTCCTCATATCTTTAGGGACATAACCCAATTCTTCTTCGGACACAGTACCGCTGTCACCCTGCCCTCAGCGCCATCGCCAACGAGCTGTTCTACCGTGGGAACCTCATCGATGGGATTTCTGAGGAGGACAGGACACCTCTGTTGGAATGGCTTCCAACACTCTGCTTCTACAGCGTTCATGGCATGGAGCAAGTAAGTTCCTCAACACCTCTTAAATATACTCCTTATATAAAAAAATCAATATTGTAGATTTTACTCCTTTCCATTCCTTTTTATGTTGTTGGTGAGAACTAATTCCCTTTTTCCCTCTTCCTAGATTGAAAGAGACAACAGCTTTTATAACATGGCAGAAGCTCATTTTACAGTCAAGCTCATCCAGTCTCTGATTGCAAGTGGAATAGAAGGAGCTGCTATTGGTGTGATAACCCTTTATAAATCACAAATGTATAAGGTTTGTACCATAAATTAATAATCAACATCAATAAAGCCGTTTTCTTAAATGTGCACTGAGTAGCCAAACTCATCCCCCTTCCCTGTTTCTTTGCCCACAGATCCAGAATTTGCTCACTGGGGTTCACTCTGAGGCTTTTGAAGTCAAGCCTGTCCAGGTGTCCACGGTGGACGCGTTCCAAGGCGCGGAGAGGGAAATCATCGTCCTGTCGTGCGTCAGGACGAGGCAGTTTGGGTTCATAGGCTCGGAGAAGAGGATGAACGTGGCACTAACCAGGGCCAAGAGGCACCTGCTGATCGTGGGGAGTCTGCCCTGTCTGAGCAGGAACAGGCTGTGGGGAAGAGTCATTCACCACTGCAAAGGTAAGAGTTTCTTGGCTGGGGTTTTCGAAACCGTGCGCCTCATTTTCTTTAATTGGGCTGTGTGTAATACACCTGATAGTGCTTATATACTATATAATAATAATATATAAAATATACAGTATGTGCACTACAGCAACCACTGTATTCATTACACGTGAACTCCAGTTTTTAAGGTTACATAGAAAATCCAACATACTGCAAGAAAATGCAAGAATCACGTGCAAGTTGCACATCTGCAGTTTTACCTGCAAACTCTTTTTATACTCAAAGGTTTTGTTTTATCCACTAATGGAACTTTACCTGCTTGGCTGACAACAAAGAAAGCATCTTGGTAGTGACTGAACTCCAAAGAGCCATTTTCCAAGCAGAAATATCACAGCCACTCAATACCCTTGGGGAAATAGATGTTGGCATTGCCAGGGGCTGGTTGCGTGATGGATGCTGTAGAGAGAGATGTAATTATCCTGTTTATTGCTGCTTTTAGGATGGGAAAATGGCTTACAACATGCAAGCCAGTGTGAGCAGCAGCTAAATGACATTCTCAAGTCTTACTTGGAGAATTGGGAGGAAGAAGAACAGAGTAAGAAAAAGGAAAAATAAAATATGTATTGATTTTTGTGAACAAAATATTAACTGCTTGTCTATAGCAATAGCTCTGGTAATTTTTAATTTAGTATTTATTTAACGTGGGGTATTTTTGTTTGGATCTCAGTGCACTGATAATTTTGACCTTGTGGTCATGTGACTAAAAATTATTAAAGTGACTTTATTTGGTTGATAACCGTAAGTCAAGTGACTTTTATCTGCTTGAGAAGTGAAATCCTTTTATGCTTACAGTGTAGTTACTGATATTAGTGGTGTTTCATTGTTCTTCAGATTAAACACCTTGGTAGATTTAGAACAATTCTGTCACCTTCCATATTTACAGGCAGGTCATGTCCAGGAAGAGGAGCTTGGCTGTAACAATTAAAATTCCCTTCTGTTGCTCTTGGGAAAATCTTATGTGCTATCCAGGGCCTATGAGGGCTCCGTGAGAGCTGGAGAGAGACTTGTCACAAGGGCTTGGAGGGACAGGACAGGGGACATCATCTTCAAAAGCCAGAGGGGGGTTTGGCTGGGATATTAGGGATAAATTCTTGGGAGGATCGTGAGGCACTGGCACAGGTTCCCCAGAGGAGCTGTGGCTGCCCCATGCCTGTAAGTACACAAGGCCAGGCTGGACGGTGCTTGTGAGCAGTGCTGCAGTGGTGTCCGTTCTGTCAGGTGCCCGGCACACCGGGAATTCGCCACCTGCGATTTTTTTCGAAAAATTCCCGATTTTGCCCATCCCGGGTTTCTGTGCCTGCCGCGGGTTCCGCCGCCAGATGGCGCCGCGCGCGCGGCGGAGGGAGCCGTCTCCGCGGTGATGCGCCCCTCCCGCCAGCCCGCCACTGCGGCCGCGGCACCGCTCCGCCCTGAGGGGCAGCGCCGGCTCCTTCCGCCGGGGGAGGGCTGAATAGCGCCTTTAAATTACTGCTGACACCCCTGTCCCAGCTCCCTAAAATCTCAATCAACAAGCCATTAGAACTCGACGGGAGTAAAACTAAATCCTCGTTTAAGTGTATTTATCCGCTCTCTTTTCTCTCTTTCAAATGCTAAATCCATTTCAGCATATGCCCCTTCTTTCTCTCGCCTTTCTCTAAAGACTGGCAGCTCGCACTACTCTTGTAAATATGAAAGATGCTAATCATATGACATATCACGTCTCAGTCGGAGCCTGGAATAAAGCCTTGAGATTTGGGATCATTGCCTCCAGACAACAGCTTCATCAGCCGGAAAGTTGGGTTTTTTTCTCCTTTCCTTCAACTCTCAATCCCTTCTTTGTCTGAGGGAAAATGCAGCCAACTCGAGCCACCCCGGCCATATGGTTCACTCTGTGTTTTCTTAGTTGAATCCTGAATTGTTTGTGACTTGCGAAGGGTTCTTTTTTTTTTTTTTTCTTTTTTTCTTTTTTTTTTTGGAAGTGTGTATAAAGACATAGAAGAGGCTGCCCGGACTGGGACGGCTCTGCAGGGTTAAATCCACGTTCTTCACGTGTTCGCCTTCGGCCACCTCACCGCACAGTCAAAAAAGTATAAACCTGCAGATACACTTTATACCAATAACCTGTTCTAGGGGTCTGGTATTCTTCCCCTTCTGGGCAAAAATATATCCAGGTGTTTTTCCCTCTTCTGGATGGAAATCCCTTCTGGAAACACCATTCGTGTCTTGGCTCAATAAAACAGAGTTAGTGCTCAGTGGCGAATTCCTTCTAGAAATGCCTTGACTAAGAGAAGGCCCTGAGTATTTTGGGTCAAGAAAAGCGGCTTTTTAGACCTGTATAAATTAGGAGCCGAGTGAGCTCGGCACACCCGAGTTTGGATATCCCCGTTTGATAGCCAGCCTGCCAAATTTTCTTTCTCTTTTTCCTTACACACCACCCCTCCCCATAAGGCCCTTTCACCAAACCATTAAATTCTACAGAGGTGGTCAAGCTAGTCCTGCTTTTCAGGCGTTCGAGAAAGAAAAGGGTCCTTGAAGTTTAGAAGATGCCCAAGGAAAACTCATTGAATGACATCAAAAGAATGAGTTTCCATAGCTGTTGAAGCACGAGAGCCGTGTAGCTGCACAAAGGCGGGTTGGGGCAGTGGGACTGTCCCACTGCTCTATCCCAGCACAATTGGGTCACTGAAATAGGGAATTAATTACCATTGGAGAGTGGGCAGCCCATTCACCACTGGCTGAGTTTTATTAAACGCCAATATAAATAACAAAACAACTCTTGTGGCTGCACTATTCCTACACGCCAAAGGAAGGATTATGTTGGGGATTAACATCTTAAAGTCTATGAGACTTTCTGACTCAAGGCTCGGAGCTGGTAATCGTATTTGTCTCCTGGTTCAGCGATTAGTGCTCTCCCTCGCGCACCTTCGCCTGGATGGCCAATGTCCCTTTTTGCAGGCACTGGGTTTTTCACACAATCGGCTGTTCTTTTCCCCACATCTATAGAAAAGAATAAGAAAACTGAAGCGTGTTCACGCGATCCTCAAGATTCTTCTCTTCTTCATGGGAAAGGAAGGCACCGGCAGCCTTTTTTCACAAGGGGTGTGGGGGGGAGGCAAACCCTCTTGGCGGGGGCGGGA